CCAGACTGGCTCTGTTGAATTTATTTATTTGTTTGTTTGTTTGTTTGTTTGTTTATTTACTTATTTATTTATTTATTTATTTGTTTGTTTGTTTGTTTGTTGTATTTATACCCCACCTATCTAGTCATTTCGACCACTCTAGGCGGCTTACAACATAAAGCATAACAAGTTCAAGAAAAAATTATAACAATTAATTAATTAAATGATTCTGCAAGATGGGAAAAATACAAAATAAATCAAATAAAGAGAGAGAAAAAAGGAAAGAGGTCAGGAATTAACTGGAAGGGAAGGCCTGCCTATACATCCACTCAGGATTGTCCCAGCATGGAGAAGCTCACCCTTCCAGGGCCGGTGTCCCCATCTCACCTTCTGATGTTTCCCACCTCCCCTTCCTGATGATGTCATTGCAGGGGAGGAGCAACAGGGAGAGGAGGAGGAGAAGAACAGCCTCTGAATGGGGCCACCACAGGAAAGGCCAGCTACCCAGGATGAAGGACTTCTTATGGGAAACCTGACAGCGTGGAAGGGCAGCCACCGCTTGCCTGGAGCTTTGCTCTCAGGCTTTCCTAAGGCGTCCAGACAGCTGCTGCATGGAATAAGATGCCAGACAAGGGGCCCTATCCACCAAAGTGCTTCCTCTGTCCTGTCCAGGCCAGGAAAGGAAGACATTTAGAGTATGGGTAGAAGGCAGGTTCCCCTTTTTTTGATTCACCTTCCAGCCCCTCTAGAAGGTCTTCACGCTTAGCCATCTGTTGGATAGGTTGGCTAGCTGCTAATCACCATCCTGTCTCCACAACAACCCTGCGAGGTATGTGTGTGAGAGAGAATGACTGGTTCAAAGCCAGCCAGTGAGACTCACAGCGAAGATGCAGTTGGAACCCAGGCCTTCAGGGGATTGGTCTGCCTCCCGAAACATCGCATGCCATCGTCTCGAACCCCGTAGGATTTCCACAGGGCGGTCTTACTTGCAAGCTTGACTGACCGTTTTGGTTTTTAAAGGGAAAGCCCTGAAGTTTACAAAGTGGATTCTGGGAGGCTGTTCTTTGCCGGGTAAACATGTTTCTCAAAAGTCATTAATATGACATTCATGCAGCCCTAATAAAGTACATAACGCTGAGATCTGGCACCGCAGAAATACCCAGAGGAGGAGAAGTACGAGTCTTAAAACTAAGACTATTGGAAACAAGATATTTTTGTGTCTCATTTGGGAATAATATAATTGCATTTTGAGGTTCTAGCAGATGCTTGGCCCAGCTGGTAAGAAAAGTTCAGGGTCTTCCCCTCCCCTCCCCCCGGATTTAGACTTGGTACTTTACAGGGGGGGGGGAAGAGAGAAAAGCTTTTTGATGAAAACTAACTTTTAGAGCAAACACAGTGGCATATTTTTGTTGTCTTGCGTTCAAAAGCATCTCACAGCAGATTCGAGGGACTGAATGTGGGGCTGTTGAAATTCATCTTCTCAGACGTCTCTCCTGGAATACTCTGGCATGAGGGGTGGACCTTCATGTGTCAGGTTCTCTCAGCCAGGAATGCTCCTGTACCCAAGTTCTTATGGCTGCTTCTTGACTGATTCCTCAGCTCTCTTCCGCCCAATATCCAGTGGCCAAATGTGCTTGCCTGTGTTAGGCCGTCACCTGGGGGGGGCGGGGCCAAGATGGAGTTGTTTTCAGAAACAGCACAGAGGAGGACAACCCTGACCCCCCGTTTCAGAGACGTCATTAAGATGGGGCAGTCGAATATCTCCTTTAGCCAGGAGGTGAATTAAGGCCATGAAATTATTATAATGTAATGCTGGATGCGTCCTTAAAGGTCATCAAGTTGAACCCCGTGCCAAGGAACAAATTGCTGGCTTAAGCACCTCTGTCCCAAAGCTGGTGCTCGGTTTCAAAAAAAGAGGAAACCTTCAAAATACCACTGTTTCCCATGCCCAGGAAGGTATTGGCAGGTTGTTCAATTACAAGGTGTATAGAATCATGAGGTCTCTTTCCATGATGGAAGCCAGATGACAACATGATTCAGAGGCTTAGTAGGGGCAGCAGGCCTGCCAAACGTTCTGTCTTTCTCTGTATTTGCCTCTCTCCCCACACCTCTCTTCCCCCCCGCTCAGTACTTGCTGTGGCTTGGGCTCCTTCTTTTACTCACGAGTAAGCTCATTTGGCGCCTGCCAAACGTTCTGTCTTTCTCTGTATCTGCCTCTCTCCCCTCTCTCCCCCCACACCTCTCTTCCCCCCCCGCTCAGTACTTGCTGTGGCTTGGGCTCCTTCTTTTACTCATGAGTAAGGTCATTTGGCATTGATTGCCCACGACACACTTTGGGGGGTCAGAGTTTTCATGAGGTTCACAAGGAGAATTTCCCTCTCTGCCTTAGGAGCAGTTTTTCCCTTTGAAGGCAGCCAGAAATATTTTAAATAAATGGATATATACTCTTAGAAAAGAGAGTGTGGGTTTTTTTTTCATTCTGAGTTTGACTCCCTCTTGCTGATGCAGCATAAGCTTCTGATCAATTGCATGTGTGTGTGTGTGTGTGTGTGTTTTGAGATCCCCGATGGGGCTGAGGAAGTTTAATGGGGTGGTGGAAGTTTTAACATCTTCCACCTCTCTGCCTGTTGCTTTAGCGGGAGATGAAACCTTTAATACGGAATAGAATATTTCCACCACTGGAAGCAAAATGTGCAATAAAAATACTTTGTGTGCTAGTTTATTTTAAATTAATTTTCTGCTTGGTGCAGAGAAATGAAACGGTACATTGATGGAACTGATGTCTGTCGTCTGCCTTTTTGACTACGTCGTACAAATGACGTGTGCAGAGGACTCAAGCCTACACTGGGGTTTCGAAAGAGAAAGGCCACACTGTTAGCAAGGGAAACATCTCTTTAGTCGCACCTTTCTCCCCTCCTGTACCCAGTTCCAAACGTCCAGGGGCAAAATAACACAGCAAAACAAAACTGCTGTTTAAAGAGCTGCCCGTCTGTTAGCTTTAAGTCCCTGGATTCAAAGTGGCACTACTGTGTCTAATCAAAGGTTTGGTTTCTTCCCTGTGCTTCCAGAAATGGCCCAGCAAAGAGTAGCCTCTTCTCCAGATCCAGTCCCTGCAAGAGGCATGGATATGGGCACGATAAAGAATCTCCAAATTTGTTCAAAAAATCACTAATTTGTTGATTTGTATTCATAGGAACCAATGCCCCCGACGAATAAGAATCAATTAATTTTTAATGATTTTGGATGCGTCAATTTGTTTGTTTATAAACACATACACACACACACACACACACACACACACACACGGTACCTAGAGGCGCCAAAGTTGCAGGGAAGCTTCCTCTGACTCTCCTCTACAATCCCTCCAAGTTTCTAAGGAGTTTTAAAGTCAAAAACAAATCGGTGAAGCGATTCGTTGATTTGCTGGGGAAAAATCATAAATTCGTAATTCGTGATCAATTGACCTGGATGAATAATATATCAAAACATTTTGCTGATTCAGCTCTAGTCCACCCTGCACATTTATGATCCCACGTTAGGTGTTGTTCCTGCATCTGGCACAGTCCTGGGACTTAGTATGTCAGGAAATGCTCTGGCCTCCTTTGTCCTCCCCTAACTCTAGATGTGGTGACGCTGCGGGTTAAACTGCAGAAGCCTCTGTGCTGCAGGATCAGAAGATCAGCCATCGTAAGATCAAATCCACGCGACGGAAGGAGCTCCCCTCGCTTGTCCCAGCTCTTGCCAACCTAGCTGTTTGAAAGCACGTTAAAAATGCGAGTAGATAAATAGGTACCACCTCGGTGGAAAGGTAACGGCATTCCGTGTCTAGTCGCGCTGGCCACGTGACCACAGAAACTGTCTATGGACAAATGCTGACTCTACGGCTTGGAGACGGGTGTGAGCAACGCACCCTAGAGTCGGACACAACTGGACTAACTCTAGAAAAAGTTGTCTGAGTATTTGACAAGAATATGAACTCTGGGCTTCCTTAGGAGGGAACCGTAGTGCTCAGAAGAGGATCAAACTTCTGCAAAGTGGGGACAGTATGCAGGCAGACTCAGGGCGCCTCTGGAAAGTGACCCCTGGTTTGCAGGCGTCTGCATGGATTGAAAAACACATTTGTTCTTTTTTGTCAAGTCTGGAGTTCCCATCATTCATTTAAGGTAGAAGGGGAAGGGGGTGCAAACAAAGAGGGAAGAAGGAGAAGCTGCCCAAAGCATGATTCCAGATTCGAAGACAAAAGATGTGGTGGCATCTAACAGATGGGCTCCTATGTTTCATGGGAGCGTTTGTGGCTCAAGTCCACTTCGTCGGGCATCGGGGTGAGATTGCATGGCAAATGTGCATACCTTTATACACACCCACAAAATAAAGAGATGGTGGGAGGTTAACCAATGTCAGTTGCAAATGGTGTGAGTCGTGGTGGCATTTCACAACTGTGGGGTTGTGTGTGAGCTTTTGTGGATTGGAGTCCAGCTCCTCAGATGTGTGGGGCACTCATGGGGCATCTTTGATATCCCCTTGGTGGAGAAGTCATGGCCAGGTGAAGTACAGGCACAACAGACACTGTGGCCGTGCATTGTTAATACGGGGAGAGAATGATGGAGATGTCAATCACTCAGAAATGCAGCCCACGGGCTGGGATGCTCGAGAGAATGATGGAGATGTCAATCACTCAGCCCACGGGCTGCGATGCTTAGCTGTCTGCTAGACGAATCACAGAATTACTAAGCATTGATAAGGCAGAGGACAAGAGTAGGTCAAGAGAAATAAAATAACTATTTCCTACCTACAGGATATTATAGAAAACGAGGTTGTTAATACATGTAGCGTGCTAAGAAGCCTTGATCTCTGTTTAGACCCATTGAGATGCACTGGAATTTGTCGATGTAGCCTGGTTCTTGAGAGTTGGTGAATGGAGCTTCAGTACCTGTTTTCATCTCTAGAAAGGGTGTTTAGGAGAAAAACCAAGTTTTCAGTGATCCTAAAAACAATCTCTGGCTTTCTCTCCTGTCTTCCAGGAAATTGCCGCATATCTAATAACATTTGAAAAACATGAAGAATGGCTGACCACCTCCCCTAAGACCAGGTAAGGTTTCCGAAGAGTTTTCTCCTTGCAAATATATATGCATATTCATCGATTCATCTTGTTCCTGATTTTTTTCCTTGCTTGCTTAAATCAATCCGCCGGTCACCAAGGGAAGGGGCGGGGGCGGGGGCCGTTTTGTGGAAGGAACCAACAGCCCAACAAAACATGCTTGATAGCTCGTGACACCAAAGTCTCATTAATTGACTTTAATGAGTATTTTATTGAATGGAATCAGATTGATTAAAACCGGGCCATCTGCAGTCTTGACAGGTGGGGGGGGGGGGGGGGTGGGGAAGAAAGAGGTTGAACTCTGTCGCGTAGTGTTTAATTATATCTGTTGGAGAAGGATGGGTTTCGACGGCTCGGGATGAGCGAAGGGGTGTCGTCTGTTCGTCTCTCTGGTGGATGCTGTGTATTCGGTGCAGCTGACATGAAAGGAAAACAAAATTGAAGGGAAACTTGGCTGGGAGGATAGAAGGTGTTTCCTTTGTGGCTTGTTTCATTAAGCTCTCCTTACTGGGAAAGAGAGCGAGAGAGAGAGAGAGAGAGAGAGAGAGAGCTGTTTCCCAATGAAAGACACACACCCTCCACATTTCATGCCGTAATTGTCATCTGGTCTCCCAACTGTCATAACTATTTAACTTTCACTCTCTCTGGGGAACAGTTACAATAGGCGGCAGTGAGGTATTCTCTCCCGGCAGGTGTTTTCTTGCTGTAAGAAAATGCAACAGGTTAAAAAGTGTGGATGTTTTATATTGCCATCCCTCCCCGTCTCCCCTCCCCCCCCAAAAAAGAATGTGTTATTCTGTCAACAGCAGAATTAAAGTTTGCAAACCGTTGACCCTTGGGAAATGTTGGAATGTCACCATTAAGGAAAATTTGGAAGTTCTGAGCCTTTCTGTTCTTGGTTGCAACCCTTTTGTTCCAAAAACATGAAAGCTTTCCAATTCAGTCTTCTGCGCATTAATTCAGAAATGCACCATGCTGGGGGTGCAACGGGAAGGCGGCGCGAAGCGTTCCAGCTTCAGACAGATCCCCCTCGCTTGGAAGGTGTCAGATACACCGGCTGTTCTTGCCCGCATATGGAACAACATAGCAGGTCCTCTGTCAGCTGGCACCGAATCCCAAATCCTGCCGCATGCCAACGCTGGAATATTTGTAAATATTGAAGGTGGTTCTCTGATGCCAAATACAGCGATCAGATACTCAGTGCATATTTGGGCAGGCATTGCATGTTTGAAGACAGTTTGGTACACATTCAAGACTAGGGTTTAGCTGAGCTTCCCCCAACTTCTATTTTTATTTTTTTTGAATTGGTTTCAGGGAAGAAATTAATTCCAGCTCTAATTAATACAGCGATTTGGCTGAATGGAATTCCAGGAGTGTGCATGGCAGGAGTGAAGTCTCTTTGGCTATTTCTTCAATTTTTAGCAAATATTTTACAAAAAAAAGGGGGGGGGAAGAAAGCAGAATCGGAGATCTCAGTTTGAAGCCAAATTATGCTGGGTTTTCCTTTCCCTTTTAACCATGCCGTTTTTAACTCTCAAACTTTGTCTTGGTAACTGGATTTTTCGTTTATTCAGGCACACTGAATTTCCAGGAGCACTGAATTTTATTGAGGTGGAGATATTTGCAGAAGGCGGGTGGGTGGAAGGGGGGAAAGGATGAGATTAACTTGAGGTCCCCTGGCTTCTGCATTTGCAATCGAAGAGAACTTTTCTTCCTGCACTGTCCATGTCGTTTGCTTTGGCACCCGATTCCTTAGTAATTAACTTGCGGGGAGAAGACAGTCTTGCAAGAGGCAAGAATGGGTTATTGAGCGCAACCAGCCCTAGGCATTAATGCTGCTGGTGTTTACATGCAGCAGGAGGAGGTGGGGAGGGGGCAGATGGAGCGAGCATCAACTGCAAAGGGCCCCGTCTTGGACATTTCCTTCCCCCGTGCCTTCCAGCAAGGAAAAAAACCAGTCTCACGGTCCATTTACTTTACTGTTTTTTATATAGGTTTATAGCCCATATATAGGTTTATGGCCCGTTGTGTTTCATAAGACGGTTGGTGACAGGACATTGAATGGTGGCCCCCGGTTAGCCTTCCCCTGAGATGACAGGGGGGCAAGAAAGATGGAGTTCACTCAATGGAGAGTTTTCTGCCAACAGCTTCACAGCGGGCAGCCATTTATATTGGCTCCAAAGAGTCCCGGGGGGTGGAAGGTCCCAGAGGGTCATCTAGTGCAGTGGTCCCCAACCGTGGGCCTCCAGATGTTCTTGGACTACAACTCCCACAAGCCTTCACCACTACCTCTGCTGGCCAGGATTTCTGGGAGTTGAAGTCCGAGAACATCAGGAGGCCCAAGGTTGGGGACCACTGGACTAGTCAACCCCTTGTCAAGACAGAGAATCCATAGCTGGAAGATCTGTTGCATAGGCCCAAGGTTGGGGGACCACTGATCTAGTCAACCCCTTGTCAAGGCAGAGAATCCATAGCTGGATGTTGGAGAAGGAAGGCAGATCCTTTCGAGGTTGTCACCTTCTGGTTTTGCCTGGTGCAGACCCCCAGTGGCCGCCCTCGCCAGACTGGCGTCTACAGGTTCCTCCCATCTTGCCGTGATAAAGGCTGCCGGAGGTACCAGTGAGAGTTGGACAGGATGGGACTGGTTCTCCAAACACAGCTGACTTCTGCAGTTTCAAAGTGGAAAATTAAACTTCATTATTTGCTATTTTATTTATGAGCCATGGCCGACTCCCTTTCTGGCCACTTTTCACTCTCCATGGAGCCGGGGTGCTGCAGAATAACATTCGCACTTGTAGGAAGCTGCCGGATCCTGCACCTGTCTTCTGCCCTTTGCCACGGACTGCACAAAAGTGGCCCAGGGGGATGCCTTGTGCGACCCTTCAAGGGTGCTTCGTGGTGCAGTGGTTCAACTGCTGTACTGCAGCGAAAACTCTGCTCACAACCTGGGTTCAATCCCAGGTAGCTGGCTCAAGGTTCACTCAGCCTTCCATCCTTCCGAGGTCCCAGCTTGTTGGTGGGGGCGAAGCAATCTGTAGCTTGTATAATTAAATTGTAAATTGGCCAGAGTATGCTTTAAGCACTATGAGGCAGTATAGAAGCAGCACACTTTGCTTTTTGCCCTGGCGTCCCTCTGCCCTCTAACAACCTCTCAATCCCAGGTAGCTGGCTCAAGGTTCACTCAGCCTTCCATCCTTCCGAGGTCCCAGCTTGTTGGTGGGGGCGAAGCAATCTGTAGCTTGTATAATTAAATTGTAAATTGGCCAGAGTATGCTTTAAGCACTATGAGGCAGTATAGAAGCAGCATACTTTGCTTTTTGCCCTGGCGACCCTCTGCCCTCTAACAACCTCTCTTTTTTTAAAACAACAACAACAAAAACCCCAGACAGGAAAGAAAAGTGTACATTGCAGCTCCCAACACTTCCAGGGGTGGCGATTTGCCTTCTAAATAGGTCAGCGCATCACTTAGCACCCTCAAACCTTTTATATTCAGCTCTTAAATAAACGCCTTACATCGTTTAACAAGCCTCCCTATTGGCTTGTCTCAACTTGAAGTGGACTTTGAGAATCACTTTCTCTTTCTCCCACCCCCTCTCTCTTTCCTTTTCTCACATTTTTCTCTCTCCTCTTTCCCCTGCTTTCTTTCTTTTTGTGTGTTGTTTTGAATGTTCCCATCTCTGAATAGGGAACTTGGGAGCCCCCCCCCAAGAGCCACCCCAGTTTAGATGCTGAGATCTGGCCCAAGCTGTGGTTGGTGCTGAGCATCAGAGGAGCCAACAGGGTGGATCTTGACCGGATTGGTCCAGTGCCCTCCTACTCTGAGGGGCTCAGCAGAGCCTTGGGTCTCCCTCCCAGGGGGCAGGTGGGATGGGAGGGGGGCAGAGACCCACAGAGTGACAGAGTAAGCCTGCCAGGAAGCAGCCAATCAGAGTAGAGTTCCAAGCATCCCTCCCCAAGCAGGTGTCCTGCAGAGGGATCGGACTACCTGTCCCATGATCCATGGGTCAGTGTTTCCTCAGTAACAAATGGATCTGGTGGCTTGAGAATTTTGTTTGGTGCATTTTTCCCCCCTCTCTCTTTCTGACCAGAAGCAAATCTGGTTCCTAAATTTAATAGAAAGAGCTTGAGGGTTGCAAAATCAGAGGCCAGTTTTGGCCACACCTGTCAGACGCGCTGATCCTACTTGGGTGGGAAGCCACTGTTGACACTGTTTACAGCACAACCCTCTTGGGATATAGGTGTGCAGAGGACAGAGGGGAGGAGAAGGAATAGAGACCCTACCTTTATATTTTTAGCATGGGGGAGATGGGATTCCCCTTTCATTCCTCTCTCTTCTGGATGGCCCTTTGCTCTTCGCAACTGGGGTTGCTTCTGGAGCAAGCAAAGAGAGCCCTCTCCAGCCTGTCTATCCCATTTTCTGCACCCAAGGCTTGAAGGGCAAACTCAGACAGTGCCCTGTCTTGTGTTCCCCTGTGGATGTCCAAGGATTTGTTGTTGTTGTTTAGTCGTTTAGTCGTGTCCGACTCTTCGTGACCCCCATGGACCGGAGCACGCCCGGCCCTCCTGTCTTCCACTGCCTCCCCGAGTTGGGTCAGATTCATGTTGGTCGCTTCGGTGACCCTGTCCAGCCATCTCCAAGCATTCTGAGCTCCAAATCACATGTGGAGGGAGCCCTGGGGAGTAGAGTGAACAGTGGTTTCCGAAGTTGGGACAATTGGGATGAATCTCAAAGCCAACAAAGACACCAAAATCGTGTCCCTCTTTGGCAACAACTAGTTCTTTATTGATTTACACAAGAGAGATCAGCCATGTTATCTCCTCTGTCGAGAAAACAGGTCTAGTCTCTGTAGACCCTTCTCGGAACGTTAGGAACAAAACGTCACCTGGTGCAGATGATGGCCATGAGACTGAAGATTTGGGAAAAAGAGGGGAGGATCTCCCTTCGTCACACACCCTGCCTCTGTAATGTGCGCCGTGCGCCGGCCCAGGCG